GGATTAGTAGGGAATTATAAGTTAGGAGTAAGGAAAAATGGTATTTTTCGAGAAGGGGAAGTAGAGGAAGAATTTGATAATTATAACAACCGTATTGGGTATAGGCAAAATGTTTTTGGTCAACTTCAGGGGACAAATGGGAACGTGGGTCCATTACAAGAACTTAGAGCTGTTGGCACAGAGATGAATAGAGGATTTTCTCCAGAGGCTTATGAAATGACGCCGTTTCAATTACAGGATATCTGGCAAGAGGCAGTTAAGATTTACTATACTTATTACCAAAACCACCTGCATGAACTTCCGGATGGAGTTACTGGTGTTGAGGATATTGACATTAATGAATTAGAAAAACCTAATATTTTTACTTTTATCGGAGGGGATGGAGACAGAGTTGGTGTTGATTCAGCAGTCGTTGAACATATTAGAACAAATCCAGCCTTTCCTGTAAATTATTCAGGGAGAGGAAGGGAAGATTATTGAGGAGCAGTTAACAAAAACAAAATAGTTGAACAAATGTATCACTGGAGTGAACCGATGATCAGATTGAGCAGAAGCGGTTGAAAAAAATCCCAAAATCTTGCCGATTTACTAAATGATAATGATATTGTCAATAGTCGCGAGCAAGTTGCTGATACCTCTTCGACGGGCGATTCTCATACTACTTCTAATCAGCAAACTCCACCCCCTCCCCCTCACCAGCAACCAACCATAATCAGAGATTTAACTTTTACTATTGATAGTGTGGGTCCGGGCTATAATGGTAATCCTCATTATATCACTTTGTCGGCTCCGTTAGTGGTGGAAGATGTCGATATTTATCTTATTTTTATTCAGTCCAATGACCCACTTCTGCAAGACGGTAATCGGGTAATTATTCGGGATGTCTCATTTGGTCCGGGTCAGGCCGAAGTGGATCACTTTGCTCATGATATTAGTATTAAAACTTTTTTTCGCACTATTGACTTAGTGTCGACTACTTCTCCCCCAGGTGGCGGCATCAGCACGCCCAATAATCCTCCACCTCCCCCATCCTTTCCTGACGTCGTGAAAAAAAATCATGATTTGATTAATGAAGAAAATAGTTTTTTTAAATT